AGCTAAAAAAAAAAAAAAAAAAAGCAAAACAAGTTGTCTAAAGAATTTAGGTGATTGCGCGCACGTAGCCATCAAACGGTGATGGTGTTACTGACACTGACGTCAACACAAATGGTGCATGTAATCAGCGAATGCTCCCGGAACTATGAACAAACCTAATTACATTCCAATGTATGCAGGTATCCAAGTCAAATGGACATTCGCGCGATTCGATGACAACCCCCAAACTGGTTTCATTAGCTAGTTTTAGTACTTAGCCATTCTATTTAGTTCGCTTTATTTGCTGTTTGGCCGATTTTTTGCCTGTAGACAGCTGTCGCTTTCATTGCTTAATAATATATAGCCTGTTGAGAAGTGCTAGCAGCCCGCAAATGAACTGAGTGCCTTAGCGCATGCGTTTTCGTTAATACATACATATGTATGCACAACATTGGGGGCGGCTAATTGCTTGTGGTTTGGCATCATTTTATGACTGAAATTAATTTTATTGTATTTTAACTTCATTAGCGTTTAATTATGCATGTTTGTATGTTTGCCTTGATCTGCGCGCTACAGTACTTAAGAGTAGCGTGTGTGCGCGTCCCAACGTAGTTGAAAGCCAGCCTCCACGTGCCGCATTTGCGATTTGAGCATTCTATTTTTACTTAGGCAAAAAAAAAAAAAACCCAAAAAATTTATTAAAAGCGAAATCGCATAAAAATTACAACGTGATCTTTTTAATGGCATTTGCATATTCAACACCTAGTTTTTTCTTTATTTTTTTTTTCAATGAAATATTCTTTATGATCAATTGGCGGTGGATTCGCATTAAGCATGCTGTTGATTTTCATAAAAAAAAAGTACGCGAAATAGGGTTAAGCATAGTGGGGAAAGTGAAAGAGCTCCTCTCCGAAATAAATTTGTATTTCCCATACTGCGATTAGATACGAAGATTAGCGCTGATTTTCACCGCAGGAATACCGCTACAAAGTTGAGCAGTCACAGAGCTCCAGTATCCAGTTATAAGCAAGAGTTGTCAATTATTGTATTGTTTTTAGATGTTTCACATGGACCGGCGCGTCTCGATATTAGAAGAGAGAAGTTTAAGAAAGTTTTATTTCGAACATATTTTTAAACAGTTTTGCTACCTTTCCAGAAATTCAAAATCAATTTGATCAATAAGTCAAATGAAATGTTTAAATATGAGTATCCAATGGCCGAGGTTCCAAAAAGTTTTATTTTTTATTTCAAAAGCATTTGGAAGAGTGTTGCCGCCCTGTTCAAAACGTCAAAATAAATTAAATTGTTAAGTTAAATCACACCCTTAAATATGCTTACCAAATTCGAAAAGTTTAAGCAAGTTTTATTTCGAAATTATTTTTAAACAGGGATGCCAGCTGTGCAGAAATTCAAAATCAATTTGAGCAATAAGCTAAGTGAAATATTTTGATATCAGTATCCAATGGCAGAGGTTCAAGAAGATTTTATTTAAATAGTTTTTGGAAGAGCGTTGCCACTTGTTCAAAACTTTATGGATAACAATTGCGAAAAGTTTAGGAAAGTTTTATTTCGAGAATATTTTTAATATATATGTATAAGAGGGTTGCCACTTGTTTAGTAAATTAAAATACATTTTTTTATCTACATATGTACATACATACACAGGTGTCAATAGGAATAAGTTTAAGAAGGCTTTGTTTGTTTATTTATATTTTTGAAGAAGGTTGCCAACTGTTGAAAAAATTCCGAATGAATTTAACTACAACGAAGACTGAGTTGCTCTACATAAACATTCACCGTATTCTGAAATATTTGAATATCGGGAATGGCTCGATTAAGAAAACCGTCTGAGGATGAGGCTCCAAGGGGCGTGGCTGTTACATTTTTTAGATGATAAGTATTGATTTTTGATTTTTATGCAAAGTATTTTCTATTAGAAATTTATCTCTGATATGCGTGCCTGCCTAGTATGACTTTCAGGGACTTTATTACTGGCTGTAAGGAGTATTATTTCGGCCTTTTTCTGAGTTGACTCGAAGACCGCATCACTCATCCCACCCACCGGGTTTTTCCTACACAGTTTCTACTCAAATTACCCCCTGGTTGAGTTTGAGTTGTACTGAGTAATAAAGTGNGTCTGAGGAAGGCTCCAAAGGGCGTGGCTGTTACATTTTTTAGATGATAAGTATTGATTTTTGATTTTTATGCAAAGTATTTTCTATTAGAAATTTATCTCTGATATGCGTGCCTGCCTAGTATGACTTTCAGGGACTTTATTACTGGCTGTAAGGAGTATTATTTCGGCCTTTTTCTGAGTTGACTCGAAGACCGCATCACTCATCCCACCCACCGGGTTTTTCCTACACAGTTTCTACTCAAATTATCCCCTGGTTGAGTTTGAGTTGTACTGAGTAATAAAGTGCCGAATGCACCCCACCCTGAAGCGTGGGCCTACTAACGTTTACCGTTCCATTTTTGTACCCGCAATCAAAACTGATTGTGCTCATTATGCCCGCAAGTGTCTATATGAATAGTAGCTAATTAATCGTTAATCCAGTCAGTATCTACATACATACATGCTATTGAATAGATAAAAATTGTATGTCTATAAATTTGCCTGATTGACTTTTATTGCTTGCCNCCCCCTGGTTGAGTTTGAGTTGTACTGAGTAATAAAGTGTCGAATGCACTCCACCCTCAAGCGTGGGCCTACTAACGTTTACCGTTCCATTTTTGTACCCGCAATCAAAACTGATTGTGCTCATTATGCCCGCAAGTGTCTTTATGAATAGTAGCTAATTAATCGTTAATCCAGTCAGTATCTACATACATACATGCTATTGAATATATAAAAATTGTATGTCTATAAATTTGCCTGATTGACTTTTATTGCTTGCCTTTGAAAAATTATTTGCTCAACAATTTCGAATAGTTCGTTTTGTTTTTATTTTTGCGGGTCATAAACTAAACTGTGACAACTGTGCACTTATGAGGTGTAAAATATTAACTGTATGCTAATAAATATGTATGGACGTGTGTATATAAATAGCTATTATTTTCCGTTTAAATACTTTAAACACTAAGCTGCCTGAGCTGAGTAGTTGGCGCATGTAACTGATTCGATGCAAGTAAATACATATTTGCGCTCAAAAACTGTGCAAACACAAACTTATTAAGACATTATCATGTACTCGCGGAGGGGGCGGGGGGGTGTTTAACGATGGTCACACACGATTTTTGTTTACTTGCGTTTCTTGCATATTAACTATGTAATTTATTTACCAAATATGCATGGATTTTTTGCATTTTCGCATTCTCTGCAAAAGT